ATGCGGCTGTTTGGAAAAACTCAAATCATTTTTCCTCTGCTCTCACACAACAATCAACCTAGAAACCTGCTGTGACCTCAAAATATGCGGGGATTTCTCTCCAGTGGATACCTGCTGAATGTTCTCCACTTCAACTCTGATTATCTACCTGGAGATGAAATCAAAACCCATGGGCTGGGGATTCAGTGCCCAAGGCCAGCCCTCTCTCTCATCAGTCTCAATTCCAGACCTCTGAAATTTCTGACTGGGTTCATGTTGGGGTTCCTATGACCCCATAATTTGTAGAGATTGACCTCAGAACTCAGGGAAACACTTAAAGTTACTAATTTATTACAAAGGGTATTTTAAAGGATATTGAAGGAGCTAAAGAAATTTTACACCAAAATAAAACTCCTTGGTATAAAAACTACCTTGAATTAAAGGCCATTTGAGATCAGGAAGCATTAAGGGGGGGGTTTCCCTCTATCTACATAAACTGGACGGACCTAATCAAAAGATCTAAGGGGGCAACTAATTTCCTTTCCTCTCCCTATTAGCTCAATATGCTGCAAGAAAGAAGATCAAGAATGCTAGCAGACCTGGCTAGCATTTTAAATCTTTTAAAATCTTTCAAAAGGTAAAACCTATCTCTCAGGTTAATTTACGAGTCAATCTGTTTCCCCATCTATTCATCCTCCCTAGCAACTATTTGTTGCATAGATATGTCATATTTTCCCCCTTCCCTTCTAAAAGGCAGATATAAAAATACCTGAGTTTCATTGAAATATTGGGTAATCACTCTTGTGATTCTCCCCATGCACGTGGTATTTGGAAATAAACTTATCTCATTAATCTCCCTTAACTGTGAGTTGATTTTTCGAAACCACCCTTACAAACTGATGAAGAGGTACAAGGAAAGAACTAGAGGAAGGGCCCCAAAACTCTGTGAAGGAACAGGCTTAGCTAAAATAGTGATAATAACCGGCCGCTGTCCCCTCCTTTGCTTGATAATAGTCACTGCCCCCTCCCCTTATTTGCTTCTCTATAATTGCTACTCCAGAGGGCACAGCCAGTAGTTGTAAAGATTCTTAACTTTTCTCTGTAGGAAACATTACCTGTTTAGAACTTAAGGGATGTTTTTGAGGTATCTTCCACATCCTGCATTCCAGAGAATTGGCTGACCCCACCGAAGGTGGCCCATACTAAAAGACTGATGCTTTAGCCCCCCAAACTAGCCGATTAGCAGGCCCCGATTACCTCATCTTTTGCCCTCCAAACTGTCTTTAAAAACCCTGTTTCTACAATTCTAGGGAAGGTGGATTTGAGAAATTTCTCTCATCTTCCCACTTAGTGCTATGGATAATATTTCAACCTACCATTGCAACATTAGGTGTTCAATGTTATTTAGGAGTCAGGTAAGCATTCTTTTTTTCTTTTCTTTTGAGACAGAGTGTCACTTTGTCACCCTTGGTTGAGTGGTGTGGCGTTATAGCTCACAGCAACTTTTGGGCTCAAGTGATCTCCTTGCTTTAGCCTCTCAAGTGGCTGGGACTATAGGTGTGTGCCACAATGCCCAGCTACATATTTTTTAAGAAATGGGGTGTCGCTCTTGCTCAGGCTAGTCTCAAATTCCTGAGCTCAGGCAATCCACCCACCTCAGCCTCCCAGGGTAAGCTACTGTGCCCCACCAGGTAAGCATTTTTATTTGATTATTAAGTTACTTCAAAAGCTATAATTTGAAAAGGCATTAGATGCAAAAACATGCTGCCACATTTGATGAGTATAAACGATTGTGCCCTAAGGACAAAATAGTGAAACTGACAAAACAAAATTTCTTTTAAAAACTTATACGTCAGATGGATTACAGTGTAAAAGCTAGTTATATGGCAGCTGTTTTTTAATGATATTTTTAATGACTCACCGTTCCTGATTACTATGAAGCAACGGCAATCATGACAGCATGGCAGTGACACGAGAGCAGACAGATCGGTGGAATACAATTAGGATCCAGAAATAAACCAACAGCTCTGCAGTCAACTTACTTTTGACAAGAGTGCCAAGCCCATTCAAAGGGAAAAAGAATAATCCTCGCCACAGATGGTGCTGGGACAACTGGTTAGTCACACACAGGAAGGAAGTTGGACCCTTACCTACCACCACATAGAAAAGATAACTCAAAGTGCATGAAAGATTTAAATGTAAGAGCTAGAGCTTTGGAACTCTTAAGAGAAAAACAGGAGCATATCTTCATGAATCTGGATTGGGCTAAGGATTCTTAGAACTCCAAAAGCACAAACAACAAAAGAAAAAATAGGTAAACTGGACCTCATTAAAAACAAAACAAAAAACATTTTGTGCTTCAAAGGACAACATCAAAAAAGTGAAAAGACAAACCCGCAGCAGTGGAGGAAATATTTGGAAACATATATCTGATAAGGGAATATAAAGAACACTTACAACTCAGTAAAAAAAGACAACCTAATATAAAAATGAGTAAAGCGTTTGGGTAGACATTTCTCCAAAGAAGACATACAAATGGCCAATAAGCACATGAGGAAATGCTCGATATCATCAGTCATCAGGGAAATGCAAATCAAAACCATACTGAGATTCAACTTCATGCCCACTAGTTTGGCCAGAATCAAAAGTCAGAGAACAAGAGTTGATGAGGTTGCAGAGAGAGTGGAGGGATTACCCTGCTGGTGGGGCTGCTTCAAAGAACAGCTTGGCACTTTGTCAAATAATTCAACACCTGTAAGTATATACCCAAAAGAAATGGAGACAAATTCTGAAATTTGCACAGAAATGGTATTTATAGCAGCATCATTCACAGTAGCCAAAGGAAGGAAACGATCCAAATGTTCATCCACTGCAGATGAATGAGTAAGCAAATTGTGGTAGAGCCATATAATGACTATTGCTTGGCCATAAAGAGGAATGAAATACCAGTACATGTGACTACGTGGATGAACTTAGAAACATTATGCCAAGTGAAAGAAGCCAGTCACCAGATCTTCTATGATTTCATTCACATGCAAATTGAAAATAGGGGGAAGGTGTAGCTAAAGGGTGCAGAATCTATTATGAAAGGCTGAAAATGTTCTAAAATTGTAGTTATAACTGCACATATCTGTGAGTGTGCTAAGAATACCTGAATTATATGTGAACTGTATCTCAAAAAAGCTATTAAAAAAGTAGGGAAAGTCTTTTACTAGGAAGCGTATCAGCCATGAGATACAACAAAGATATAACTGGCTTAAAGAAACAGACGACCTACAGCTTGTGAAGTAACCATACGACCAGAAGGCAAGTAGAAAAATTCCCGGTAAAACCCTGCAGAATCTTCCAGAATCACAGGCATGAACTCAGAGGAGGTGCCAGGGACTCAGCAAGGTTGCCACTGGCCCTGCTGGCTCCACCAAGAGAGGGATGTGATTGGGTTTATCCTGGGTACGTACTGGGGGGGGCAGAGGATGGTATGCTCCCACGTCAGGGTAATTCTTGGATGTGTGTGGGAAAGAATAAAAGTCCACTTCACATCGGGAGGCTGAGGCAAGAGAATTGCCTAAGCCCAAGAGCTGGAGGTTGCTGTGAGCTCTGTTGCCACAGCACTCTACTGAGGGTGACAAAGTGAGACTCTGTCTCTAAAAAAAAAATACAAGTCCACTTCACAGTGCAACCTGAATAGGTCCATTTACTAATGAAAAACCATCACATCCAGCAGCTATTATGGGCAGCAAACTTTCCCAGGGCAACTTTCCCAGGGCAACCAAGTGTACATGGAGTCAGATTCAGGGCTCAAGACTCAGGGTCCATATGGACTGACTCCTTAGCATGACACATGCTAAACTCTACTGTGGGGCTGAGCACTGTGTGTCATCGTCTCCTGCCTTCCCTTGCTGGCTTTGTACGTGTCTACAGCTCCAATGGGACCAAACTTCTGTCAGCCTTGAGCACTAGCCCACTCCTTCTCCCTAAGCCTGGACAAGTGTATGTTTGACAGCTGTGGCTGTTTTGTTTTTTCGGCTCTATGTAGGGCATAGCTCTGCTGTGCCTTTCTTAAATACCAGATTCAGCCTCTCCCTTCAGCCAGTTGAGTGCTTTCAGATTGTAAGGTCAGCACCTAACACAGTCTGCACCTGTGTTCAAGACCTGACACTTGACATCAATCCTACCCCCGGGGCTTCTTGTGTATCTCCTGGGTCAGGTGTGAGGAAGGCAGTTGTGCAGAGGCCCACGTAGCTCTCACATGGGATTCAATTCTGTTCCGGCACAAAAATCTCACCTTTTACGGATGAATCCATGATGGGATGGTGTTGTTATAGTTTTGGGAAAGGAACTCAGAGGCTGCTATAAAACTCAAGCAAGAGGCTACTGCTCCTCAGAAGGGAAAATACCCAGGTTGCATCATTAGATTATAAACAACCACCACGTGATGATTTCTTCTCTAAGTTATATCCTATTGCAAGGCCAAGGGATAGTCAGTAGTTCTGGTCACAATTAAAGAATGGAGCCAGGCTTGGGAATTCAAAATGCAATCTGCCTCAAGGTAAGAATTCCCTTTCTCTAGGTACTAGGGACTCCTTCCTAACTGGGGGTATAAGACAATTGTTAATCTCTTTCTTCTTCAATCTACTTTTTTTTTTTTTTTTTTTTTGAGACACAGAGCCTCAAGCTGTCCCCCTGGGTAGAGTGCTATGGCATTACAGCTCACAGCAACCTCCAACTCCTGGGCTCAAGCGAGTCTCCTGCCTCTGCCTCCCAAGTAGCTGGGACCACAGGCGCCCGCCACAACACCCGGCTATTTTTTGGTTGCAGCCGTCATTGTTGTTTGGCAGGTCCGGGCTGGGGATTCGAACCTGCCACCTTAGGTGTACGTGGCTGGCGCCTTAGCCGGTTGAGCTATAGGCGCCGAGCCCTTCAATCTACTTTTGCCAGACAAGAGGAACAGCTGCTAGTGACACTTCTTGTCCTCCTCATCAGAGCACCGGAGTATGTAACAGAAAAGGCATGTGACTCACCAGTGTTGGGGGTGTGCTCTGCCCAGCCCGAGAAGTTCAGTCCTGTAGGGGCACTTTGGGAGAGTGGACAGCTTCTTCTACAGAGGTTCGAAGACTCTGGAGAGGTGATGAGCATCTTCCTCCAGCACTGGGAGAGGAAGAAAAAGGCAGAGGGTAAATGGAGAGAGGAAATGACAGGCTGTCATCACTGCCCCTAATTTTTCAAATTGCCCAGGACCTTTCCTGTGAACAGAGCACATAGCCATCACGTGCACAGCTCCAGAGGTGCCATTCACACCAAAACCTAGGAGAAAAGAAAATCCTTCTCCTAAAGTCTACAGTGTCCAGCCACGTGGCCATGTGGACAGGCTGTCATTCCACAATGTGAAGCAAGGACCACCGAGAGGGTCTTAGACTCTTGTATCTCCCTGGGTGGTCAGCCTCAAAATCTGGTATCTTTCCCAAAAGCTGAAGCATATTCTTCGGGGGTACTTAATTGAAATGCAACTCACAAAGTCCCTGACATCTCATGATTATGAAGCAGATACTTCAGGGTGTAAGGATCAGCATTGGGTGTGTTCTTGGGATGCCAGGGATGTGAGTATTTTCTTTATCATTCCATTGTCCAAACTTTTTTTTTTCTACCAAATCCGTTTTTTCTACCTTATATAGTTGTTATATTAACTTAAAAATGATGTTTGCTCTCTTTCCTTTTGCTTTTATATTCCTCACACTAGTAGGCAAACAGTGCTTAGAGAATTCCTTTAGTGACTTCCGAAAACATCAATATACAAAGCAAGGGTTGAGATGGAGCAGCATACTTCTCCCATCTTTTTCATTTGAATGCAACTAAAGACTTGGACAGAAGGTATAGATTGCTGTCCGAGGACTCTGAATGTAAATGGTAGCAGGTGGACTGGAGAAGGAAACCAGAATTTGAAGCTGCACTAATCCTGTGGTGAGTTCCCTGGTTGTTGTTTCTGCAGTATCCCCTTGGCCTAAACTCAGTGGCAGCTTGAAATGGGGAATAGACACAAAGGACTCCAAAAGAAACTCTCTGATCTGAAGAGAGGGACCTGAGGGAACAGAGGGAATCCAGTGTATTTGGGTGTTGTTTCTCCCCCACCACCCCCAGGGAGTCCCACTATCGCAGTGGCTGAGGTGACTGGACAGGCCCGTACAACTCAGAGGGATGGAAGCCTTCTCTGACCAGAGGAACCATGGTCCCAAAAGTGTGAGGAGAATCTGTTTCTTTTTTCTCTGTCCTCCTGCCATTTGGCTCCAGAGGCAGACACAGATGCAAGAAGTGTGTGGCACTGAGAAAACAAGTCCCCAATTTTCTATCAAGAAGACTAGGTGGTTCCTAGAAACCAGAAAGTATCTGGAAGAATGTTCAAGAAAATGACCCTATAATGTGGTGTATGAGCTCCTCCTGGCTCACTCCCAAACTGCATGCCCAAATCTGACCCTAAATAGCACACTACAGTCTTAGAGAACTGAATTGTGGGGTAGAACCTTTTACAGGTCCCAGACTGGCACTGGCATGATCTATATTATCCAAATGGCACTGCAAATAGCATGAAAACTGAACTGACATAAGAAACACCCCTGAAGGCTGGTAAGGACTTGTAGCCTGAACTTAATTGGGTCAACTCCTTGAAAAACTTAATAATAGGAATTAAACAAGGCCCAGAGTTTTCTACTACAATATTCAAAATGCCCAGGATATAATACAAAATCATTTGACATACAAAGAACTGTGAAAATCTCAATAACTTGTAAGGGAAAAGACAGGCAACAGATGCCAACACCACCATGACACAGTTGTTGGGATTATTAGACAAAGACCTTAAAGCCTCTCATATATAACCATGCTCTAAGAAGTAAGGAACTTCTGAAAATACCTGAAATGAATAACGAATAATAAGAAAATAATGCAAAAAAGAATAAAATGGAAATGTTAGAACTGAAAATTATAATAACTGAAAAAATCTATTGGCAGAATTCAATTATAAAATAAGATAAAAGAGTCAGTACACTTTTAAATAACTCAGCAGAAATTATCTAACTGAAAATAGAGAGAGAAAAAATTACGGGGGACAAAACCCAACAAAGGCTCAGGGACCTGTAGGAAAATAGAGATTTAATAGTCTGTCATCAGAGTTCCAGAAGGAGAAGAATATATGAAATATATCAAGAAATAATACATATATATATAATGATATATCAAGAGTATATCAAGAACACATGAAATATATCAAGAAATAATTGCTGAGAACATCCCAATTATGATGAAAGACATTAACTTAGAGACACAAGAGCTCAAACAGAAACTTTAAACAGAAAAACACAAGGAAATAATGCCCAGAGATATCATAAACAAAGTGCTGAAAACTAGAAGAATCTTAAAAGCACCCAGAAACAAACAACAAAGCATACGTATGGGAAATCCACTCAAATGATTGCAGATTTTTCATGGAGGCCAGAAAGAAGTGCAACAATATTTGTAAAGTGCTGAATCACTGCCAACCCCAAATCCTAGATTCATCAAAAACATACTTCAGGCATGAAGGTGAAATACATTCTCACGTGGAAAGACACTAAGAGCAAGCGTGGGCAGCGGACCTGCTCTAAAGAAATGTTCAAGGAAGATCTTGATGCAAAAGGGAAATGACACTAGCAGAAAGCTTCATCCTTCAGGAAAGGATGAAAATGAATAACTGGGTGAAAGTTATTCACGAATGAATAACTGGGTGAACAAAGGATGAAAGTGAATAACTGGGTAAGTATAACAGACTGTGTTTCTCCTCTTAAGTAGTACAAAATATGCTTGACAGTTAAAAGCAAAAGTTATAATGTTATCTAATGAGGTTTTCATATATGAAGATAAAATATACATGATGAGTACAATATGAAAAAAGTGGCTAAAGGAACCTGTGTGCTGGAAGTTTTGTACATTCCGCTTAAACTGTTAAAATACTAATTCTAAATAGAATATAAGAATTATACTGAAAAGTTACAGGTTTATATTAATCCCTACATGGACTACTAAAAAAAAGATCTACACAAAGAAATGTATTTTAAAACTCAAGGCTCGGCGCCTATGGCTCAAGTGGCTAAGGCACCAGCCACATACACCTAAGGTGGCGGGTTTGAATCCAGCCCGGGCCCGCCAAGCAACAATGATGGCTGCAACCAAAAAAAACTCAATAGATAAGTTACAACGGAAAACTAAAATATCTCCAAATAATCCAGAGGAAGACAGTAAAAGGAAAGAGGGCAATGGAAATCAGTGAACAGAGAACAAAGGATAACATGATTGACTTAGACCAAACACATCTGTAGTTACACAAATTTAAATACACAAAGCACAAAATCAAAAGAAAGATTGTCAAGATGATTACAGGGAAAAACAACACCTAATAATATGCTCTCCACAAGAAACCACTTTCAAATTAATGAAAAAGATAAGTAGAAAGTAAATTTATGGAACCATTTATGCCACATAAATCCTAATCAAAAATCTTACCTTTCAAGAGGAACTAGTACCTGTATTATGCAATCTTTTCCAAAATATAGAAAAAGAAGGAATACTTCCCAACACATTCTATGAAGCAAATATCACCCTGATACCTGAACCAGGAAAGGATCCAACAAAAAAAGAAAATTATAGATCAATATCATTCATGAATATCGATGCAAAAATATTCAGTAAGATCTTAGCAAACAGAATTTAATAACACATCAAAAAAATTATACACCATGATCAAAGTGGTTTTATTCCAGGGTTACAGGGTTGGTTCAACATACACAAATCTATAAATATAATAATATATCACATCAATAAAATAAAAAACAAAGACCATATGATTCTATCAATTGGCACAGAAAAAGCCTTTGATAATATCCAGTATCCTTTCATGATCAGAACATTTAAGAAAATAGGTATAGAAGGAACATTTCTTAAACTGATAGAGGCCATTTACAACAAACCCACACACAGCCAATATCATATTGAATGGTGTAAAACTGAAAACATTTCCACTCAGATCAGGAACGAGGCAAGGATGACCACTGTCTCCTCTGCTATTCAACATAGAAATGGAAGTCTTAGCAATGGCATTCAGGTATGAGAAGGTGATCATGGATATCCGAATAGGGTCAGAGGAGATCAAACTCTGGCTCTTCACCGATGATATGATCCTATACCTGGAAAATCTCAGAGACTCAACTTCAAAACTCTTAGAAGTGATCAAGGAGTACAGCAGCATCTCAGGGTACAAAATCAATACTTACACGTCAGTAGCCTTTATATACGCCAGCAATAGTCAAGCTGAAAACATAGTCAAGGACTCTATTCCTTTTAAATAGTCCCAAAGAAGATGAAATATCTGGGAGTTTACCTAACAAAGGACATGAAACATCTCTATAAAGAGAACTATGAAACTCTGAGAAAAGAAATAGCTGAAGATGTTAAGAAATGGAAAAACATACCATGCTCATGGCTGGGAAGAATGAACATTGTTAAAATGTCCATACTACCCAAAGCAATCTACAGATTTAATACAATCCCTATTAAAGCACCAATGTCATACTTTAAAGAACCTGGAAGAATAGTACTTCATTTTATATGGAATCAGAAAAACCTAGAATAGCAAATACATTACTCAGAAATAAGAATAAATCAGGAAGTATCACGTTACCAGACTTCAGGCTATACTATAAATCTGTAGTGATCAAAACAGCATGGTACTGGCACAAAAATAGAGAGATAGATTTATGGAACAGAATAGAGAACCAAGAGATGAACCCAGCTACTTGTTGTCATTTGATCTTCGACAAGTCTATCAAAAATATTCAGTCAGGTAAAGACTCCCTTTTTAACAAATGGTGCTGGGTGAACTGGCTGGAGACCTGTAGAAGATTGAAACTGAATCCCACCTACCAACATTAATAAAAATTGATTCTCACTGGATAAAAACTTTAAACTTAAGACATGAAACTATAAAAATACTAGAAGAGAGTGTGAGGAAAACACCTGAGGAAATTGGCCTGGGAGAATATTTTATGAGGAGGAACCCCCAGGCAATTAAAGCAATGCCAAAAATACATTACTAGGATGTGATCAAACTAAAAAGCTTTTGCACA